TGGAATGTTTTACGTTCCAATTAAAATAGAGCACCAAATTTTGCATTTGTTACGTGCCAGATCAGCTAGTATAGTATGGTCATTTCTGGTACTTCCACCTCCCGAACAGCAGTCTGCGTAGCGGATCGACAGACCCGTGAAAAGTGACCTATTTTGTCACAGTTCTTGCACTTAGCCTTAGTTGCAGGGCAGTTAACAGCACTAGCGAGGTGCTCGGCGGACCCACACTGAAAGCAATAGCGGCTTGCACTGGCTCGTTCAGGCATGCACTGGCTCGTTCAGGCATGCACTGGCTCGTTCAGCGATGTCTGTTGCCTCTTTCAGAGTGAGGTTTAGTTGAAGCAACAAGTTCTCTCTGAAACGGGAACAGGAGGATCGTTCCACTAACTGATCACGCAGCATTTCATCCGATTTATCCCTGAACTCACAGTTCACAAGTAATTCACGCAATGCCGCAACGTACATAGCAATAGATTCATCTGTTCTCAGAGCCTGCTGTCTGAATTTGTGTCTCTCCACCACTACATTAACAGATGGATTGAAATGAGCTCTAAGAGCCCCAACTGCATCATTTTTAGTGGTACCTGCCTGTAGTAAAGTGTAGAAAATTCGTTGCCCCTCCGTTCCAAGACAATGGAGAAGCACAGCCCGCTGTCTTGCATCTGGCCACATAGGAGCATTAATGACTAACATGTAATTCTCAAGCATCTTTAGCCACATCTCAAACTGTATTGTAGGTTGGCTGGGGCACGGCAAAAACGAGGGAGGGAACGGAACTCCTGCCAACCTCATCGCTAATATGTTGTGTAGCAATCAGACACAGAGGGCAGAAAGTACTTTGTCCGATGGAGTGCTGTATTTCTTCACCACTTCACAACCACACTCCACTTCCTTCTACTCCCTAATCTGTGGTTGTTCTCTTAGTCTTTTTTAATGCCATCTACAGGGCTAGAGGTAGAACTGCAACTTAATTCAGAACACAACAACCTAAAAATGGCCATGAGCTGCCTTCACAAGTTGGGGGACTTTGCTTGGGGCCCCTGGGCCCAGTCCCAGTGGACCCAAGCTGTAACTGACCCATGAACATGTCTACACGCCAAAAGGTGTGCACAGTATATACACGCATACAGCTGCAGGCACCCATGTTTCAAATAATTCCATCCGTTTCCTAACCCACTGGTCCTGTGCAGGGTTTTGGAGGTTCAGAGCCTATGCAGAAAGCTACATGCACAAGGCAGGGAATAACCCAGGACAGGGGCGGCGACCCATCGCAGTATAAGATAATGACCTTCGGAGGTTCAGAGCCTATGCAGAAAGCTACAGGCACAAGGCAGGGAATTACCCAGGACAGGGGCGGCAACCCATCGCAGTATAAGATCATGACCTATGGAGGTTGAGAGCCTATGCAGAAAGCTACAGGCACAAGGCAGGGAATTACCCAGGACAGGGCAGCAACCCATCGCAGTATAAGATAATGACCTTCGGAGGTTGAGAGCCNTCGCTGTTGTCGGCTCATACTGCCCATTTAAAATAAGACATAGTTAAGGGTACAGTTTCATAACCAAACATCACTTAACTAATGATAAAATGATAAAATAATTTTGTCTGATACACGACAACATTCACCATTAGGTTTCATCCTTGGGCTCTGAATGTGCAGCGAATTGGCCTCAGTAAAGTGTGGATTCAGAATGAAGCATAAGGAATGTGCTGTTGATTATGTATTTATTTATTAATTAGGAAGGAAGGGGGGTCTGCCAAAATTGCGGTGGAAGTGTTCCCCCTATTTCCGACAACCCTGGAATTCACACACCTTTCTAAATGTTCCAGTGTCACAGTAAATCAAAACCATAGTGCATGAGGTTGATAAGAGTTGACACTGTAGGTTCATTTACATATTTCTCTAATATATTTTCCCCAAAAATGCACTGTGGAATAGTCTTTTGTATCAGTACTGAAGCACACAGGTCATTTGCTTATGTTAAGACAGTAACGCAACTTTTGTTTCAGCAATTGGCCCATTGCTCATTCCTATATCCATGACTTGCACATATATTGGTGCATGCAGGTGTTTTATATAAGAAATAATAAATAAATTGGTGATACTACAATCTGGGGAGGTGGTTGCATGCACCAAATCAGATAATCATATTTACAGTGAGATAATTCAGTTTCTTAATTTTGTATTTTATTTTTAGCTTATCCACAGTTCTGATTACTGCAATATTTTGAAGGATTCATGCAGTGTTATATTTATAAAGAACATCACATTCTGTCTTTCTTTCTTACAGTTGCTTCATGGATGGAATAATCAATTCTTGAGCCATCGATGTCAACCAATCAGGTGTTCTGGTGCCTATTAAGGTCATACTTAAGAAGCTCTACCTTGAGCAATCTCTTAAGAGAATGTTCAGGAAACATACATAGGAAAACAAATACCTTTCGTAAGACATATCTTTAGAGTCTTCGTAAGAAGCTATGAGTGACTGAAATGGGGCCCAGTTGAGTATAAAGTGTCACAGTAAGAGAGTACTCAACTGGTTGGTTGAAACAAAATCTTGGACAGGAATTTTACTTTCTGGACCTGAATTATCCACCTCTGCTAAGCACCATGGTAACACTGCGGTTTAGTTCCAGTGAAATCAGGGTGGGGAATTTTATAATTGGTGCCACAAAGTGAGTCACTATAACATCGACCATCATGTAAGCTTTGGAAGTTAAAAGGTACTCGACCTCAATTTGATTGTGCAAAGTTTCATGAAGAATGGATTACAAAATGCAGAAAAGTGTTCCCCAAATAATAAATACAAAAAATAAATGAACAATATTTACAAATTTACATCGTCTTGCAATTTACATTTTGACGACTTTTTGGTTTTCGTTTGCTTTCGTTTTGCTTTTGTTTTCATTTGCTTTCGTTTTGGTAGTCCCTCATGTGCCCTTATCTGTGACTTGATCACACCTGCAGAAAAACAATGGAGATCACTGTTTGCTATTTTTCACCATTGTGGATTCATGTTTGTCCTTCTCTGCCTTTTTCATGCTGTCTCCTCACCATAACTGCTCCTCTTTGTGGTCCATCTCTAGCTTTCATGTCAAACCTTTGCATGACTGGTTCAGTTGCTCCTTGAGTGTCTGTATTACTGTAATGTAGATCCTTTCATATAAGTACTATCTGGCAGCCAGTTACATGCCGCAGCACTTTAATAACCTGCATGGACTCACAGTGATGTGCATCACTAAGAGGATATCGGCAGGAACCTGCTCTCATCTGTGTTAAGAGATGTTCCTGGTGTTTGGAATAAGTATTTCGCATCATTTTTAATTTTGATTTTCTTCTTTTTTTTAACATTTTCATGACGAATATGTTTTGCTACAAGGGGGCAGTGTGGCTCAGCAGGTCAGAACTCTGTGCCTGTGATCAGAAGTTACTAGTTCAAATCCCATAGCTGGCAGAGTGATGTCCCCATTTGGGTCAGTTTATATTCAGCGTTTACAGTGTGTGCAGTTACATATTGCTACACATACTTGCATTAATAGTTTATGTCAATCTGGAGGATTAAAAGTTGTGTCCACCAGGGGGCAGTGTGAGAAATCATTATGTACAGCAAAACAATAATTCCATTCAACAATAGTCATTAAAGAATGACAATATGATCTGAAAATGGTGGTAATAAACTGAAGAATTACAGAATATTTATGAAGAAGTTATTTATCTCAATTGTGACATTGTATAACAGTACATATTAAACAGCCAGTGCTGCCCCCAAGATGTTTGGTAATATTACATCTCATGTACGTTAATGTAAATTCTGTAACGTTATTTCCTCAGGAGCTGCACAAAGGATGTGCAGAATGACTGCAGGATGCACCTGGCAGCCATGATGCGTAAGCGAATGAACTGGGAGCGTCGAGCATAAATGGACCTTTAGGCTCTTAAACCAAACTGCTTGAGGGACACTGTCAGGACTCCTCTCTGATCCTCACTTGTATGTGGCTTTGGACAAAAGTGTCCATTAATTAAAAGTGTAACGGGTCTCCGGTGATACTTACGTTTATGTCAGAGTGATTCAGAATAAGGTCCCACCTCCATCTCAGCACTGGTCTCCAGTGTTTTCATATATAACAGTATCTGAAACATTACAATACTCTGATAAACATTCTTTTTTTTTTGAGAGACATTCATTTACTGCTACAATGAAAAAATGGCTCTACCTATATTTTTTAAACAGGAAAAAAAAAAAACAAAATAAACAGGCCAGTTGCAAAGCAGTAGAAAATCTCCATAAGATGAAAATAAAAAAAGCTGATACATAAAAACAAAACAAAACCTGGAAAATTTTGAACACTATCTGGTAACTTTGATTCCAAAGACTGCAGACACAATAGCCAGCCATTGTAACAACAGACAGACTTAAGAGCACAGAACTCTAAACCAGCATTAAAAGACATTAAAAAGCGAATAAGTTACTCTCCGAATTCTATAAACTTATTTCAATCCAATGCAACAATACACCATACAGCTGAAAAAGGGGAAGGATCTGGCAACTTACAATAATGATATCAGGATACAACTCTGTACAACCACCTTTTCAGTTAGTAAAAATAGTAATATACAAGTAATGCAGTATAAGGTAAATTACGGAGTACACTAAAGCGAGCAGAAAATGTACCAGATTTGAAACCTAATGCTCACACATTCAATGTACAGAAAACACCAAAACTGACCTTCATGTCTGCATGGCTTTATTCCACTCAGCTTCTCCGGAAAGGAGTCACTGTCCACTTATCATTTTACATGAACTGCAGCAGTCCACCATTCCATCACTCTGCTAAACTGGTGACCTCACAGCTATGAATCTTCCTTCCCCAAATACTCGGTGCACGTAGCCAAAGCACCAACAACATTTACCAATATCCTTCAATCCAACAGTACGTTGTTATAATACTAATAACAAGAGTCAGTTCGACAGCTGTGATCAACCATTATAAACAGTGGTGTGAGTAACCAT